AAAAGAGAGAGAGAAGTGACAGTAAAAGAGAGAGAGAAGTGACAGTAAAAGAGAGAGAGAGAAGTGACAGTAAAAGGAAGCGAGAGAGAGAAGTGACAGTAAAAAAGAGAGAGAAGTGACAGTAAAAGAGAGAGAGAAGTGACAGTAAAAGAGAAAGAGAGAGGTAGAGAAGAGGCAGTGAAAGAGAGAGAGAGAGAAGTGACAGTAAAAGAGAGAGATAGAGGTAGAGAAGTGTCAGTAAAAGAGAGAGAGTGTGAGAGAGAGAAAGAGGAGTCACTGAGAAAGAGGAGTGACATAGAAGAGAGAGGGAAAGAAAGGAGAAAGGAAAAAGGGAAGTGAGTTAAAAGAGAGAGAGGGAGATAGGAGAGAAGGAAAAGAGAGTACAAAGAGAGCAAGGGAAAGAAACTAAGGAAAAGGGAGAGAAATAAAGGGGAAAAAAGGGAGAGAGACATTGAGAAAGATAGAGAGTGAGAGAGAAGAAGGTAGAGCAGGAGAGGGACGGAGGAAAAGACTAAGCAGCCTGAGACGCAGTCTAAGCCGAATGACCGGAGCTGCTGATTGTGTGTGTGTGTTTATGTTAGGACACAGTCTGAGTTTTTTCATTTTACTCTCTCTCTCTCTCTCTCTCTCTCTCTCTCTCTCTCTCTCTCTCTCTTTTCATTTGCTTCTAATAATTAATAATCCTTCTATCTTTTTTACAGCGTTTTCAAACTCAGACCTGGCTCTGTGAGCTGAGCCGTGCTGGTGATGTCCTCTGTTCTGTTGTGTAAAATGATCTGTGTGTGTTGAGTGTTGGTAAAGTGTTCTTACTGAACGCTCAGACCAAACGTCTCCTCACTCAAACCCATGTTTATAAACACCGTCTGCTCTCGGCCCTTCTGTGACCTCTGGAATTCTTTCCTACTTCAGTGGCACTAAAACTGTCAATGGAGGCAGAATAAAGAGGCAGCGAGGTAGAAAACACCCACCGCCCACTCTAGTTCTCGTTTTACTATACATTCGGTTCACTTTACAGTCTCCTGTACAGTTTGGGCGCCGAATTACATGATTCGCTGTTTTTTTTTAAGATAAAATAAAACATAAATGTGAAAGTCGGCACATTATATATTTTATATTCCATATTTTAATGTGTTAAATTTAGGAAATAGAAATTGTGCCCTAAAATTTCGCTTAAAGATGCAATAGTTAAGTGTGTTCCCTGTAAAGCATACAGACGGTTCTTCAAGTGTTCTTCAGTAAAAACAATGGTTCTATATAGCACCATGAACTCTCAAAGAACAGTGGTTCTTTGCATGGTGAAATGACAGATGGAGAATGTGCTGTATATGGTTCTACATACAACCTGTTTGAAAATTGTTATGTGTAGCAGCTATAAGGGTTCTGGTATTGAAACAAGCTTGACATTGTAACAATAGCAGAACCCTTTTTGGTTCAATATAGAACCATATACATCCGTCTGAAGAACTATTTCACCGTGCAAAGAACCAAGACTTCTTTATAGCACCAAGCTTGACATCATAACAATGGCAGAACCCTTTTTGGTGCTATATAGAACCATTTCGCCATGCAAGGAACCATTTAGGCATGCAAACGGTTCTTTGAGTGTTTATTGTTCTATACAGAACCACTGTCTTTACTAAAAGTGTGTGTTAACGTGTTCTCACTTCAAGTATCCACAAAACATCTGATGTTATTGGGGTGTTCAAACTTTTGCATACACCTATATGTAAATGTATAAATGCATAATTGCATACCTGCTTAATAAATTCCTATACCGTCTCAGCAGGTGTGTAAACATTCCTAGAAGGGTTAAATCCCTCTAACTTCCAACAATGTTCCACGTCTCTGAGACACAGCGGACCGTTCTCCGCCCCGAACATGTAGGGACGAGGCCCGAAATGAGCGTGAGGGGGTCGGAGAGCGGTCAGAATTCCTGGCGTTCCTCTCTGAGAGAGGGAGAGAGAGGGAGATTTCCGGATTTACGTCCGAGGGATTCCCGATCGCGGAGCTCTGCTCAAACGAGCTGTAGAGCAGATAAGGCTCTGAAACCCTGCGGCGCCTTCCAGCGTCTCGTTTTGCTCGTGTTTCAGCCGTGTACACTTCAGGGTTGGAAGAGATTCCCATCATTCCCATTTTTTTCTTTTGCTGTTACAATCACTCAAATGCTTTTCAGCAAGAAATCAAGTTTGCTCACTTTCCACCCCCTTTTCCCAAATGCAGAGGTGTTTGGTGTCTGGATTTTATTGCTTTAGCACTGGAGCTACAAGGCTAACGTAGCTAACATGTCATGGAAATCATTTAAACCAGTGATGATGGGTTTATTGGCAACTTAGTACTCTGAATTTTCCAACTCGGAATCTGCTACTTCCCAAGCATTGAAGCTGGTTAAGGATGCTTACAGTAAGCTAGTGCTTGTTCAGCTGCTGTGTGCACATAAAAAGCATCTTATAAAACATTTACATTTGAATTAAAGAGCTGTTTGATTGGCGCTTTTAATAGTGCAAATAGTTTATGACAGTTTACTGTTAATATAGCACCAAAAATAATTTGATCAATAACCTTGCACACCCAGATAGAAATGTGATGCATGGCAATATATGGATTTTAAATATATATCATATTTTTCATAGCATATATAACCTTTCCTTTGTATCCAACTCATATATGCCGACTTATTTTGGCCATTTTCACACACGCCAATATATTTAAAATATGGCAAATATATTTCAGCAATATCAACATGAATAAACTTATGTGCAACACATATATTTGAAAATATGTGATCAAAAACATTATCCATATATGGACGGAATATATTACTCATATATTTTAGCTTCATGTTATCAGTTTTTGTATTTCATTTTGATTTTATCCATGTTTTATGCATATATGTATTCACCCACCTATCAGACAAGTATGTATGATCCATATATTATGTGTATATGTGCAATGTTTGATACTTACAAATATGTACACTACATATAAGACCATATATTTTGAAATATATGTCTATTTATGTGCATCTATGGCCTTACAATTGTACAAGCATCCCCTTTGCATTTAGCAATATACATAAATAGCATGACATACAAATAGAAACTCAAAAGTAAAAAGCATAAAACGTATTTTAAGGGCTGTTCCTATGGATTTTTCACCTTTAGACATTCCCAGGTCCCACTTAGTCATGAACGCAGCATTACCACTGTGTAAACTTCATAGCTGGATCACCAGGTTTGCCTCAAACGGTGTCGGTGGTAAAGTCATTTCAGATATGACTTGCTTATGTGGTTTCTTACACTGTATAACATGCTGTTAGCTATAAAAATGGACTGAAGCAGCATGACTAAAAACAGAAGTGGGGTCAGCCTATATTCCTATGACCCTACGTAGCCTCATTGACATTCTCTAGGAAACAACCCTGTGTTCCCGTGGTGCCATGTTTCAGCCTTATAGAACATCAACTGACTTCAGGAGCAGAACTTGCCCAGAAACCATTGCTATTTAACGCATCATCCATTTTGTCCATTTCTGAATATTTTAAAACTGTATCATTTAATTTGTTCTGTTGAAAATGTAGTACTACTCAAGTTGCCTGGGTAGAAAAACAGCATAGACTAGTGTGGCTAGTCACCAGCAACACCAGTTTTGTTTCGGATGGTGAACCAGCATGACCATGACCATAGAAATCTGATGCATGGCCATATATGATATATATCATAAGGGTCAGGCGTAAATTTCAAAATATATGCACATATGTGTAAGTATGAAATATTAGGCATATATGCATAATATGTGGATCATAGTAATATGTGAGAATAGCGAGTATTTATGTATGTACATAAATGTTAATATATCTAATACACAGCAATATATGGGGTTCAAATATGACATATATTGGCATACATGGATTTCCTTTATATCCAAGTTATATTTGTCACAAATGGACATATATATATATATGTATTTATAGTTTAGTTATGTAGCTATTATACCAATTTTCTCTTCATTAGGAAGCAAGAAACAAAGAACATGCATAAAAATGTATGCAGCATATGTGAATCATATATGGCCTCCATATATGTTTTATAGCATATATTGTTAAATATATGTTACACATATGTTTGTATAATATATGGCTGAAATATATGTCTCATATTTCAAAGTGGCCAGTTTCAAATAAGTTGGCATATATGTCACATATATGTCCATATGTGACAAATATAAGTTGGATATAAAGGAAATCCATGTATGCCAATATATGTCATATTTGAACCCCATATATTGCCGTGTATCAGATTTCTGTATGGGGGATCTTACATGTTTCCTTAATGTATAAAGGTATATATTAAGGTATAAAGTATCATACAAAGAGCTGAGAATGTGCAGCCATGCTCGCATAAGACCTGTGGAAAAACATGCTCCCAATTTTGCGTGTACTTTCGTCTATTTTTATAGATAACATGTCTTGGCTGATTGTCTGCGCTTTTGTAAGGGGAAAATTGTGTAACTTAACTTGCTGCCCAACTATTTCTTACACACTGAGAAAATGAGGTGATAAATTGCTGGGTGCAAGTAACTACAGCACATTTAAACAATCATCTAATGATCCTTGTACTGTTGAAATGCCTCAGAATGAGCATGACTTCATGTGCCATCTATGTGCAGTGATCTAAACGCCACTGTTCTTAATCAGAGCAGTGTAGAAAGGCTTTTATACTCTCCTAACTAGAGCTGCACAATGCCATTCGTTCATGCTTATCGTGATATTAGCCTTTGCAATACCGATATCTGTAAAGATACACACTACTACTGCAATACTTTAATACTATAACTTTGTGTCAGATTCAGATAATAATAACCGCTAACAAACACAAAAACAATGTGGTGTGCATTGAAAGCCTGGACCGAAAGAGCTACAAGTGAGAAATAAGACTAAACTGCAGCATGTTTTTGTTTTCAAAATAAAAACTGATATTAAGTTGGATGCTTTGTTATTGCAGAATACGGAAGATGACACCTACTACTATGAGTACCCTTACTATGAGGACATGGACGGGGATAAGACTGGTGAATCACTGCCCAACACTGAGGTCACTGAAACAAGCGAGAGGGGTGGTGCACCCGGTGACTTGGTAATGTAGCCTTGTTCCTTCCATTTTTTACACCTTGCTAAATCCACACTTCTGTGCTGTTTGCTTAACATATTGGTAAAACAGAAGTACCTCAATCTCATACATAACTTACACATTAGCTCTGCGGTAGTTACTGAATAGTAGAATATCTTAAGATTAATAACTGGACAGTAAGCCTGTGATTTAAGTGGCTCAGAACTTAAGAAGTTCTGAAGAAGGTTAGGTTTGTTACACAAAGTCCTGCCAGTTTTTTTATACGGTGGTCCTACCACCATTCTCTGCCATCTGCCAAACCCAGATTCGTCCATCAGATTGCCAGAAACATGAAGCATGATTCATCACTCCAGAGAACACGCAGCAGCTCAAGTTCTTTACACCCCTCCAGCCGACACCTGGCATTGCACATAGCGATCTTAGGCTTGTTAGCAGCTGCTCAGCCGTGGAAACCCATTTCATGAAGCTCCTGATACACAGTTCTTGTGTTGATGTTGCTTCCAGAAACAGTTTGGGATTTTGTAATGGGTGATACAACAGAGCGCTTCCACCACGTGGTCTACTGCTTCATGGCTGAGCTGTTGTTGCTCCTAGATGCTTCCATTTCACAGTAATAGCACTTACAGTTGACAGGGGCAGATCTGGCAGGAGAGAAATTTCACAACCTGGCTTGTGGCAAAGGTGGCATCTTATGACAGTGTCATGTTAACAGGCACTGAGCTCTTCAGTACGACCCATTCTACCGCCAGTGTTTGTCTATCGAGACTGCAAGGCTATGCGCTTGATTTTATACACCTGCTAGCAATGAGGGCAACTGAAACACCCAAACTCAATCATTAGGAGGGGTGTCCACATATTTTTGGCCATGTGGCATTTCATTTTCTTCATACCTTTTCATTCCACTGACCACCAGTTGCTAAGTAAAGGCAATAATTGTTTTACTATTTTTTACCATTAATATTTAAACACATACATTTGAAATAATATTCTTACATTTGAAGTAATATTTTTTCCTTTATTTTTACGAAACCGTTGTAAAAATAAATAGAACAATCATGGTGGTGACTAAATCACAGTGTTAGTGGTATCGATGCGCTCCTTGAGTCTTTATACGTTACGTTTATTCTACATTCGTTCTTTGCTCATCTTATGGATGTACACCGACTCTCTCTGTCTTGACCGGCAAAGCAGACCATCACCACTGTGACTGGCGGAACTGGAGGTTCCAGCAGCTCGTCCAGCGGCAGCTCTTCCAGCAGTTCCTCTTCCAGCAGTTCCTCCTCCAGCAGTTCCTCTTCCAGCAGCTCCTCTTCTACCACGGCGACAGGCGAAGACTCATACGATGGCTACGATGGTTACGAGACCGGTTACGAGACGTACTACGACGAGTCTACAGCCAAGCCTGATAGCTCTCGCACAGTCACCATCACAGGAACAGGAGCGGAAAGAGAGCTGGACCTGGGTCTGGGCAAGAACATAGATCTGGGCCTGGGCGGCGACGTGGAAAGTCACGTCATTACCTCCGTAGGAGGAGGGGGAGGAGGAGGCCGAATCCACACAAGCACCGTCATACACAACAGCACTGCCGGCTCTGGCTCTAGCTCTGGTTCTACCACCAGAATTTCCTCAGGTTCTAGCTCCAGCTCGGGCTCCAGCTCCAGCTCGGGCTCCAGCTCCAGCTCGGGCTCCAGCTCCAGCACGGGATCCAGCACTGGTTCTAGCTCCAGCTCGGTGAGTTATCTAGAGTGGTACAGAATATGGTGAAGTTATGAGTTCCCCAAGTTAAGTAGGTTAAATTCACCTGAGAGGTGGATTTAATGTGAAAAACGCCCTAAATTCTCATCCCTGTCTCTGTAGGTGGGAGGTTATGATGATGGTTATGGCGAGGGTTATGACGTGAACTATGGAGAAGGGTACGATGAGAGAGAATACACTGCCGGTGGAGTAGGAAGCAGCAGCAGTACTGTATCCGTAGGGGGCGGGTCCGTGTCAGTCGGAGGCGGGTCCGTGTCTGTCGGAGGCGGGTCTGTTTCTGTCGGAGGCGGGTCCGTGTCTCACGGAGGCAGTTCAGCCGGGGGCGGATCGTCCAGTGCTGGAGGCACAGCTGGGGCAGGGTCTGACGCCATGGGAACCGGACAGGGTGCAGTCGGTGGGGAAGCAGAATACACGGAATTGGACAAGTTTAAGGAGGAGTCCATCACGGATTACAAATACACCGACTCCGACCTGGAAAAGATTTACGGAGATTACGGAGACTACGGAGACTACGGCGAGAGCGAAGACAAACAGCTGCCCGCTGAGACTGACAATTACTTCGGCCAGGTAAAGCCATGCGCAGAGTGTGGACAGAATGTAGAGTTATTACTTTCATTCTGCTCTACCATTTAAATGTAAACACACAAATGAATTACATAATCAGTTACATGATAAAAACATTTACATTCGATTCACATCTTGTACTGACACGCTGGTTTCGATGGAAAGAAGTGACAAAGAAGACCTCTTCAAATTCAAATGATAATAAAACATCTCCTCTTCTGCTTACCAACGTAAAGGTGGCTTGGATTGGAAATTTAGAAGCCACACTTTTTGATAAAATTTGCAAAAATTTTAACACCCCTGGTCAAACAACATATTTTGTAGATCAAAGTGACGATAAGTTAACACATCCTCATCAGGGAACCTAAATATGGCATTTTCTCACCCCATTTTACTGCATCATTTCTAATTATTAGCTGTGTTTAAGGTATCAGGAAAAGTTAGAACATAAATATGACATCAATTTTGTTTAAGTTTTCCCTGAATATGTTTAAGACAGCAAATAAACGGTAATTGTGAATTAAAATGTGCCCAAGATTTCATGTAGAATATCAACAAGACATGGAGTATGACCAGAGCGCCGAAACGTTTGCATATGATTTAAACCGTTTTAAGCATACGCTTAAACTTTTAAGAGGAATGGTTATTCTGAATCAATTATGCAAAATGACTTTAAACAACTAAAATGCCCAACATAATTAAAACTGAAATAACAGATAAAGTAAAGTAAAACTGTACAAAAAGCTGCTTACATGAGCTGTGCACATTTCTGAGATACAGCCCTGCGTAACCTCCAAGTTCTTTGGACACATTGCAGCATACGAGTACTGTGGCCAGGGAGCTCAAAGCACAAAGTTATGACATTTTATTTTTCATGTAAGATGTAAACTCAGCAAGTAAAGGGAATTTATGTCTTAAAATGTGCACTAAATGCCTCATTTACATTTGCCCCCTGTAGACGATGTGATTCACTAAGAAAATAATACAAAAAAAAAACATAATTTGTTTAAACTTTTGCACATGACTGTATGTGTTTGGAGTTGAGCTGTTTGTGTTTGGTGTCTGCAGGTGGACGGATCCAGAGGAGAGAAAGGACAGAAAGGAGAGCCAGCCGTCATCGAACCGGTGAGTGCGTGTTTGTCTGCATTCCATACGAAGCACTGTCGCATGGATACACGACGTGTGCGCTCAAACTCACTCGAGTGTGTTTTAGGAGGATAAACACTTTTATAGTTGTATAATGTCACCCATAAACACAAAGAGAGAGAGAGAGAGAGAGAGGGAGGATAACATCTGTGGCAGCGGTCTGGTGAAGGGCGAACTCATTGAAATGCTGCCGACCTCATTCATTCATTCCTTCATTCAGTCATTTGGTTCTCGCTTTTTCTCTCTCTTTGGAAAACAACTTCGGATGAGATGACCTATATCAAAGTGCTCTGAATGCTCCGGTTTGGCTAAGCGTTATACAGTTATTCTCATGTAAGGGGTCGATGCATCTCTTTACTGTGCGTTAACTGTACTGTGCAGATGCTCTCAGCTCTGTAGGTTAGCGTAGGTCAATTGTAGTTCACAGATATTCTCAGCATTGCAGGTTAGCATGGGTTAACTGTAACAAATATGTATTCTTATTGCTGCAGGCTAATAAAGTTTTCTGTGTTTTGCATGTTTGTTTTAGGGTGTTTGTTCTTCAGTGTTTATTCATGGGGTTATTCTGTTGGGGACTTTTATTGTGGAGGGTGGGGCTAGGTCTGCCTGGAGGGGTATGTGTGTGTATGGCGTAGCTGTGGCCAACAACAGCTGGAGAATAAAGTACCATGACTTGTACAGAAGTCGTGTTTCTTTTAATAGCGGTGAATGCTAAAATTGGTGTCAGAAGTGGGATGAGTAGTGAGCAAGCTGTTAGTAAAGAGAAAACTCTGCTTATGTATGGCGTAGCTGTGGCCAGCAACAGCTGGAGAATAAAGTACCACAATTTGTGTGAAAGCTATGACTCTTTTAAAAGCACACTGCCACAACAGGTTAAATGTTCTGTAGGGATATTCACAGAACTGGATATTCTCATTGCAGTAGGTTAGCGTGGATTAACTGTCATGTACGAATATTTTCAGTGCTACAAGTTAGCATGGGTTAACTGTGTTGTGCGAATGTTCTCAGTCCTGTAGGTTTGCCTAGGTTAACTCTATTGGGCAGATGTTCTCGGTGCTGTAGGCTAGCATGGATAAGTTGCGCTGAAGTTGTTCTCTGCCCTTTTTGTTAGCATGGGTTAATTATACAGATTTTCAGTGCTGTAATTTAGCATAAATAAACCGTACCGCACAGATATTTTCAGCATTGTAGGTTAGCTTGGATTAAACACACTGTAGCCTTTGGATATTCTCAGCGCTGTCGTTTTTCATGTCTAACCTCAGTGCCACGGTCAGTGACTGAATTTAGCTGTCTTTATATAACAGTATCTTAGCTCCTAAGACCAGCATAGGACCGCATACAGGCTGTGTCCTGTTTGGAGACTTAGTGGTGAAAAATGCAGATTAAAATAATGCTGAAATTGCTCATGCAGTGCTTGTTTGAGTTTAGACATGCAGGACTGACTCAGACTCATGGAGATGGTTAATTCAGCGCTGCTGGTTTTGCTGGGTGGGGATTCTGGGCCCTTTTTTATTGCATTGTAACTGGGCTGTGTTTAAATGTGACCCAGGTGCCTATACAGAAATTTGATAGATGACAATATATGGCGTAGATGGATTTCCCTTATATCCAACTTATATTTCTATTAAATGTAAATAAAAAAAAGAAAGCAATGAAGTGCAAATCATTTAAACCCAATATTTCATTGAAAATAGCAATGAAAATATACACACACCCATATATATATATATATATGTACATATATTTTGAAATATATACCCAACCCTTTATAATACATGTCCATATATGCCCATATATCAGATTTGCGATTTGCATGCTCGCTTCCGCAGCAACATCCAGACACATTCTCAGTCTTACTAATCAATGACAGAGAGCTCAGCGCAGATCAGTGCTAACCAGTCCTACAGGGTGGAAATCTCTCCTCTCGTCCCTCGGCTTATTAACATCCTCCCTTTTCCCACTGCGACTCCCATTCCTCTCTTCCTCACTCACATACACCCACACTGTCTCCCTTCCTCTCATCCCCCACCTCCTCTGGCTGTTGATTATAAACAGCTGTCTCTTTCTAAACAAATGGCACTGTGGCTCGCTGTGTGTTCGTGTGACTGCATGTCCCGTGCTTTCTGGCTGTTTTTAAAATATGCTTTCTGAGCATGGAATGCCTTTCATCTGAGTCCAGACTGTCCCAGCCTTGCCCCTATAGACATGGACAGACACATATTCATACTCAAAGTGTGATTTTTCCCCATGTTATTCCATTTATTACAGCGACAGCAGAAAATAATAGTATTCTTTTTGAGTTTTGTACACCTACAATGTTCAATTTGGCCTGAATGTGAAAGCCTTAAAGGACCTGTACCCCGGAATAATCAATTTTCCTCAGTTGTTTTAAATCAGATATTCGAGTCATGAGGTAATTTCCTTTTTTATGGGATTTAATTTTCTGCATATCGTCCAGTTACGTAGTTTTACAGCGAATTCAGTGGTGGTCTAATCATTTAAATCCCGTTTTGGCAGACGTCACCTCACATCTATTTAGTCTCCTAGTGCACATATTGGTATTAAACATATTCCGAATTGCGAACGGAGCATGATCATATGATTATGATGCGGCCGTCCAGGGGTGCGTTTCCCGAAAGCATTGCTGAACAGCTACCGTAGTTAAATGATAGAGAGACTAGCATTTTGAACACTTTCTCTCCACAGTTACCACAGTGGTTGCTCAACAGCGCTATCGGGAAATACAGTCCGGGTTTGTAGAAAATACAACCCACTAGAAACTCGCTCATCTCATTTCGGACGTCCCCCTGGTAAAATAATCTGAATAGGGTTTCTTTTTGCCGTTAACGTCTTCTGTTGTTGTTGCTAGAAGACACCCGTCCAAAAAAAGAAAGCCAAGTGAAAAAAACTTGCCTGTTGTTTTTTCCCCCTCCTTTCTACTTTGAATTAGTAGGCCGAAATCATTACTGTACTCGGTTTACTTAACAGTTTGACTTGTGTCCTTATTCCAATACATGTCCAGTAAGACATGATTTAAAACAGAGATTTTTATCGTGCTGGTCAAGGGTTGATTACGAAGTCACACCTGAGTTCTTTATAAATAACCCATTAAATTGTTCAGCCGAAGCATCACAAACTCCATGGACCATCTGTAATTAGCAACTCCTTGCCCGTTAATGTTTAAACGAGAGCTCGCCTGCAGTTGACCGATCAAAAGTGACCACATTTAGAGGCATCCACCAACATAAAACACCAGTACCAATAAGCAGCTCACCCTGGTAGAACCGGACTTTGATACACAGACTAACAGCTACTAACAACCGTCGCCCAGTCGTCCTCATGATTGAACCTTGAATGCCTATGCATCTTTGTCCTGAAGGGTAGGCAACCACCGTCCATGTGTGATGGGTGTAGCACAGACCAGCTTTTGGCCAACAGCAGTAACGTCACCCAGAACTGCTAGATGGTTTTAGGTCATGGCTGGAGCTGCGAGGGTTTTGTGGAGCTCTGGAACAGAATGTTTTGGAAGTGTTGTATTGTTGAGCTTGTCGGCGTGGCTCTTTGAGGTTGTGAAGACGCTGTGGTTTTGGATCGCTGAGGAACAGCCGAAAATATGCTCAAATCACACACTTCTATCTTTTTGCAGCTGTCCGCATTCTGCCTTTTCTGCGTCCACGCGTACCCGTCCCTCGTCTTCTCTGTCTTGGCGACCGAAACAAAGAACGTGTCCCTGCTGCTGCAGTGCGGAGTGGCTTCAGGGTGAATACCAGTCTCCACAGATCACTGAAATCAAATCAAGATGTTCACCTCACCCCTTTTTCTCGCCGTCCGCCGCAATCTGTCCCGCATCTGCGGCCCTAGATGTCCCCTAGACAACCCGAGCGACCTGAACTTCTGATGGACTTGCTGTCCACGTCGTTTCTGTAGGGGAACTTGCATTTGGTGGGTGGTAGAAGCTGTTGCTGGACAGTGTGTGCTCTGTGTGCTGGTAATTTTTTGTGCTTGTTTAGTCAGCTAACTCCAAAAAATGGCTCTTCAAGGATTCTTTAGCAAAGGCAGAGGTTCTGTTTATTTACCGTGAGTTCTATACAGGACCATTTAATGCTTAAGTGGTTCTTGACATGGTGTAAATAGTTCTGCTAGTGTTACAATATCAAGCTTGTAACCCTTTATGGTGCTATACAGAGCCATTCTCAAAAATCTGAAGAACCCTTTCACCATGCAAAGAACCATTCAAGCATGATATAGTTCTGTATAGAATATATGGGTCTAAATAGACAAATTTCCTTCACTAAAGAAACCTTGAAGAACTTTTTTAAGTGTGTATGACTTTAGACAGTAAGCATTCAACAGTATGTTGCATTATTTTCTTCTTGTCTTCTTTTCTGTTAATTAAATATCGGTTTTAAACAGTTAGGGATACTTAAATATGAGAATTAAAAAACGTGCACATATTAAATATGTACATAAATGTTTTTATGTAATGTATAACATTCAGCTGGTTTGTGCTGTCATGAGTGAACAGCTAGACTTCTCCCTACCTAGCTCGCCGTGTCGCCACCTAGTGTACTGAGCTAGCAACTGTTCAGAGTAAAAGGCGTAGATTAGAGGTCTGCGCATGACTCTCGGAAGATTTCATCCCGCTCCCGCAGAAAATCAGAATCGTTTTGTCCCGCTCCCGCCCTCACAGTTCTGTCAAGGCTAAACTGACGTCCAATATCCGACACAGTTTATTCACAAATACATTATCTTCTGCTGAAATAACAGGTCAGTCTTGGTCATCGGGCTCACTGTGAGGAATTAAACCACAGAGCGGTTATTTTTGGTGTTTTGCTGGGCATCTGTGGCCATTGGACTGAAGGCTCTGTAAGCTGTTCACTTTGCTATTGATTAATGTGCAGGGTTTCATTTTATGCGTGCTGTGTCCTGCTCCCACCTGCAGTGGGCTGGTTTCCTGCCCGCTCCTTTGCACAACGGTTAAAAAGTAGTCCTGTGCCGCAAGATATTGTGCTGGGTCCTGCGGGTCTAAGTGCTGACCTCTACATCTTTTACAAGGGCATCAGCCTTGATTGCTAATATCAGACTGATGGACAATAATTTTACAGAAAATACCGTAAATCCACACTACTGATGTTACCCAGGGCTTGTAGGACCCTTTGGCAGAGTGCGGGGTCAGAGCAGACCAACACTGTTACTCCAGATTTCATTTATTTTCTTTGGTGCGGCCCAAAACGTTTAATGCTTGAGGTTTAATGGTTATGGATGTGAGGCCCTGCCATACCACGCTCTCCAGCATTCTTCAGATGCTAGTGAGTTCATGACCTTGTTGACTTTGATCTTCAGATGGAGTAGAAGCCTTAAGGAACCCTTCATGCACCACCGTTTATCAAAGTGTCATCTCAGACATGAATGTGGATTAGTGATGTGTTGATGATGTCATTATGCTGATGAACTCATTTCTCTTCTCTCTCTTTCTCTCAGGGAATGCTGGTAGAGGGCCCCCCTGGTCCCGAGGGCCCAACTGTAAGTCTGAATGCTTTTTACTCTGTATGCACACACATACACACAAATACAGCACTGAGCCAAATCAGAGACTTTGTTATTTATACTTTTATATATTAACAGAAGATATATATTTACCAGAAAATTACACCAAACAACTAAATAGGATATAATTTTTTTCAGTGATTAGGGAGGCTTGATTTTAGTTTTTCAAAGCTGTCCACACCTTTATTCCACACCTCCAAAGTTCAGTCTTTCATTTTCTGAAATAATCCAAACACATTCAGTGATGTCGAGGTCTGGACTCTGGAGTGGTCAGTCCATCCTTCGGAGAACACCAGCAGCTTCTTTAGTTTATCTTATCGCTGCTGTCGGAACAAAACCTTGTATCTCCATCTTTGTCATTTTTCAGTTTTTGACATAATTTGAAAATACCTGTTGTCCTTTACATTGTTTGTAAATTTTATGATGAATGGATCAAAAGAAACGGCCCAAAATGACTTGGAAAGAATTCTGGTTCCATTGACTAGAATGTTTTTTCCTTCTCCTGTAAAGTTAGCATTAATAGCGTGTCCTTATTGGCTGGAAACTAAATAAATGTTCTCCGGCACTGTATGCAGGAAATGCGGTGTAAAGCGCTAACTAGCGAGGAAAGTTTGGCGATTAAACTTCAGGTCGGCATGTCAGAGCGTGAAAGGGAAATATCTCTGTGTGTGCTGAGTTGGCTTGGCACCGTCCGTCTTTGCCGCAGGAGATCAGGATTAGATGTACAGCTGGCAAATCAAATACATGTGATACTGTTTATAGTTTGGTTCGTGAGTCGACTCCTGGATCAATCTCACTGCTATGTGTGCTCTGCTAAAGAGAGAGAGAGAGAGAGAGAGAGAGAGAGAGAAAGCAGTCCAGCTCCCTTTCAAACTGACAGACCTAAGTGGACCCACACGCCTGCCTGAGTGGGCATGTTTTTCAGTTAATGTTCTCTCTGATCTCATATATGTATGTTTATGATTTTGTCTCATATGTGTCTGTAGGGTCTGCCTGGTCCTCCAGGCACGAGTGGACCGCCAGGCACCCCTGGAGAGCCTGGAGAGAGGGTGAGTAAGCATAGCATTGCTGACCTTTGCAATCCTATTTTAGTTTCCATACAGTCCTCTAGGTTCTAGGTATTCACCGTGGAATGCATGAATCTTTAAACTCTAAACGTTATTGTTTTGAGTAAAATGGCCGTGAGTAACCAGGCAGTCTAGCTAAATTACACTGAAATGCCTAGCAGGGTTCTAGATATTAGAGTAATAAAGTACATAGTAATAAATTGTCATTATTAAATAAATACTCTAATTAATAAGGTGGCAAATACAAATATAATAACAACACATTTTACTGCAGAGTAACACATTTAAGCAGGAAAGTAAAACACAAGAACCTTTAAGTTCCAGATAATTAAATGGGCCTTACGAAGACACTGAAGGACTTAAGAGTCGTATATAATATTCTATTAATTATCTAGAAGCGGAACTGAATATGTTCTCTAAAAGTAAGCAGCGGTAAAACCATTCCCTGAAGTACACTCTTAAAAAAGATGGTTCTTCAAGGGTTCTTTAGTAAACACAGTGGTACTATATAGAACCATGAACACTCAAAGGACTGTTGATGCTTAAATGGTTCTTTGCATGATGAAACGGTTCTTCAGATTGATGGAAACTGTGTTGCATATGGTTCTGCGTAGAACCAATTTGAGAATGGTTATGTATAGCACCTAAATGGGTTCTGGTATTGGTACAAGCTTGACAAGCTTTCTGCACTGAAGCATTCACTTTGGTAAAGAACCCTTGAAGAACCATCTTTTTTAAGAGATGCTTGTAAATGAAGAACTGCCTACTGCAGTTTAGCCCCGCCCATTTATACTGAAGTTATAAGGAGTGTTTCAGCCTGAACTGCTTTTTAAATGAAGCACGATATGTGGCGGCCAATCAGAACAGAGCTGATTTACATATATTGTGTCTTAAAGGAAGAGAAAAGTGGTCATGTAAAAATGAATTATGGATGTTTTAATGTTTTTAAGTACCTCAAAAACATTAAAAGTGGACCTCAGGGAAAAAATAAGCATAAAAAAAATTGGGGACATGGGCCCTTTAACTCCTTATATGGCTTTATTACACATGTATAACCTAAGAATAGCTCAGCCATATTGCATTGAAGTCCCTGTAGTTACTAGTTACTTATAAGCCTTAGTATGTAATAAGCCTGGGATTAAGAGCGTGGGTCCTTTTACAGAGATTATGTGCAGATTATTTGTCATATGCCATGAAACTGAATGCAAGTTTGTACTTGAGACTACAAATATTTATCCAATTTTTATATAATTTACTGTTCTTTTTCTGCCTAATGCCCAGAACATGTTAGGCACAGTTAGACTCATATTTTACCCAGAATAATTACACAGCACTTTAGAGTTTGTACCTATTAATTACCATGTAATTGTAAATTTAAATGTAATTTAGTTAAACTGTCTTGGAACTTATCATCTAAGTACCCAAACTGATTATCTAGTACTACACACTCACTTAAGGGACTGTAAAAGCAAGCATTAACCATAAATATGTGTTGTAAACCCCAGTAAATAAAAAGGCACTACATTACCCAGACTGCTTTGCTGCTTTTAGGGTCCTCCCGGTCGCCCTGGTCTTCCTGGAGCTGATGGACTGCCAGGACCCCCAGGAACCGTTCTGATGTTGCCGGTACGTAAACCTGCCACGCCTCTGTGGATAGACATGCTTGGCCTGGGTGTGTTTGGATGTATATGTGTGCCAACATGAACCTGTTAACCTCACTGCTGAAGAATGCGAGGCGGATTACAGACCAATGCATCGCTCCAACCTAATTTGCGCACCTGAGTGTTGGATGGGGTGGGAAGAGCAGTACATAAGAGTCTTATATAGTATTCACAATTATTACCGTCAGACTGTAAAACTACACACACTGCAGATTCATACTGGATTACAATCACGGATCTTCTTGGTAATCACTTAAATTCTAGTACCTCCCCAGGTAAAGATAACTGACTCTAAAGGCAGTCGGCCTTTGGAGGCAGCAGGCGTTGAGCGGATACCACCTGTCAGTGGATGTGTTTTACAGAGTGAAGTGAAACACTGCGGAAATGTCAGCTGTTAAAACGCTGGCCGCTGCGCTGAGTTATAGCGACAGCTCGGAAGAGCTCAGCATTAGCAAACCTGTTTAATAATCTGCTCTTTTAATCGCCCGCATCAAGCCAGCGGTGTCGAGTGCACCGAGACATTCCTACACTCTCCCAGCTGCGGCACTCATAGTCCCACTTCAGAGTCAGGATTTCAGCTCCAGGACTTCCGGAATGTTTGTGAAGAAGAACGGAATTCATTCGGAAAGTTGGAACGCTGCCGTCTTCTCTCCTTTTATCTCTTCTCTTCTTTCTTCTTCTCTTCTGTGAGAGTCCATGAATCTGTTGCATGGACCTTTCAATAGAGTAGTGAACCTATTCAGCCACCAGATGGCAGCACACACACACACACACACACACACACACACACACACACACACACACACACTCACACTCACACAAAGCCAGACAAACACTTTAAAGCCCAGTTCATTTTGTTTTTAGTCATGTTTATAACAATTTCAGTTTCAGTTTAATCAGCATAACACAAAATAATACATTTTTATAATAAAAAAGGTAAAGGTATTGCAGTTGTTATGGTCGGGTTAAAATCAGTTTCTAATTCTCTCTGTTTTCTCTCTCTCTCTCTCCCTCTCCCTCTCTCTCCCTCTCTCTCTCTCTCTAGTTCCGGATGAGCACAGGTGGAGATGCTGGCCATAAAGGACCTGCAGTTTCTGCTCAAGAGTCTCAGATGCAGGCCATCATGCAGCAGGCCCGGGTAATGCACACACACATGCACTGTCAATCATCTCAAGTCTAAACCTGGAACATCTGAAGCATCGGTCTGGTCCATTAAAGGATGATCCACATGTGTAGCTTTATTAGCCAGGAGTTCTGCTGGCTCTCAGTTTCAGATTCAGGGCCAAATGTACATACGAGTGCAAAACGTGCCTTTATGCAACCGTGTGTGCCTGCAATGTGCCATTGCCTTTCAATGAAAGTGTGGCTTATCGTGCACACTTAGCCCCGCCCACTAATTGCTCAATTTCTCCAAAATTCAGCATAATTCAGTGGTTGAGATGTAAACATGCACATGGCCTGTAAACTGGGTTTCGAATCACACCTAAAACTGCCACAATGGCTCGAGCCCTCAGTGTCAACCTCATCAGCTTACATACTTGGACAGATGAGCTTTGGTCCAGTGTGCAGACTCGTTCACACTCGCTAATCGTTACCCTTTCTTTATTCTCACACAGCTGGCAATGAGAGGCCCAACCGGTCCAATGGGCTTAACTGGTCGGCCTGGACCACTGGTATGCTTGTTATCTTTCTCTCTCTTCTTTTTCTCTCTCTCTCTTGCTCTTAAAGACCTTAAATTGGCATCCTTACCACTGCATTCATTAACACTGTCTATAATGTGCTTTTCCCAGGGTCCTCCTGGTGTGCCTGGAATAAAGGGAGAGTCTGGAGAGCAGGGGGCTCAGGTAGGAGTGACTACATTACCCACAATCCCCAACAGCCCACTAGTAAACTGAGACTAGTCTCTCAGCAGTCCCAATGGAGATCTTATTACAGTGATTTTTTGCACGTTATGTTAGTATGTACATATTCTAATATAGGTATTGGGCGTAATTCATAATATCACTTGACGGTATTCTGTGTTCCGTACAGGGTCCTCGTGGTCCGATAGGTTCAGTCGGCCCTCCTGGAAAGCCTGGCAGAAGAGTGAGTGTTTTTATCTTAATAAACTATTTTATATAAACTTGACTGCAGACCTGCTAGCTGTAGCGTTTATCAGACGATAGAGGGCGCTCACAAATCCAAAATGAGTGGTTTCTTGTACAAAATAAATGGATTATTGTACAAAATCATAGTTTGTAAATGTTTAATCATTTTAAATGGAAAATACTCAAACTTTCTGAACATAAAGCTTACCAACCAGGCTGTAAAGCCGAACAATCAGCACTCAGTAGCATGAATGCTAACCTATCAGCACTCAGGAGCAGTAATGCCAACCAATCAGGACTCAGTAGTAGTAATGCCAACCAATCAGCACTCAGTAACAGTAATGCTAACCAAGCAGTGCTCAGTAACAGTAACGCCGACCAATCAGCACTCAGTAGTAGTTATAAACAATCAGCCCTCAGTAGCAGTAATGCTAAGCAATCAGCACTCAGCAGCGGTAATGCTAACTGATCAGCACTCAGTAGCAGTAATGCCAAACGATCAGGACTCAGTAGCAGTAATGCTAACCAATCAGCACTCAGTAGCAGTAATGCTAACCAATCAGCTCTCAGTAGCAGTAATGCTAACCAATCAGCACTCAGTAGCAATAATGCTAACCAGTCAGCACTCAGTAGCAGTAATGCTAACCAATCCGCTCTCAGTAGCAGTAATGCTAACCAATCAGCGATCAGTAGCAGTAATGCCAACCAATCAGCACTCAGTAGCAGTAATGCTAACCAATCAGCGATCAGTAGCAGTAATGCTAACCAATCAGCGATCAGTAGCAGTAATGCCAACCAATCAGCACTCAGTAGCAGTAATGCTAACCAATCAGCACTCAGTAGCAGTAATGCTAACCAGTCAGCAATCAGTAGCAGTAATGCTAACCAATCAGCACTCAGTAGCAGTAATGCTAACCAATCAGCACTCAGTAGCAGTAATGCTAACCAGTCAGCAATCAGTAGCAGTAATGCTAACCAATCAGCACTCAGTAGCAGTAATGCCTATTTAAAGTTGCACTAAAACTTATTCTCACTTAGTAAATCAACAGAGCTTAATTTGACCAGGGATATTCATGCTTTTGCACGTGACTGTATAAACATAAGGTTTTTGACAAATGAAAATCGGACCAATATTTTGGTTATTGCTCTCCTTTCCTACCAATAATCCGTATCAGCCCAGAGAACCACAAATCGGTCGACCCCTAGCTTATATGTTTTTTGTGTTTGTGTGTTTTCAGGGTCGTGCTGGAGCAGATGGAGCAAGAGGCATGCCAGGACAGACTGGACCAAAGGTAAACTCTCACACAACAGAGGCGTAGCTACGAGGGGGCTTGGGGTGGGCTAGGCCTTCTCACTTGGAAGCTAGGCCCCACTACACTTCCAACTGCTCAAAAGAACAAAAGTCCTTCAGTGACAATAAAAATGCTGCAATATGTAATGCAATATTTGTTTTGCAGTGTTATAATGCAGAGTAACAAGACTTGAGACTTACTTGCAACTTACTTGCAACTTAGTGACTTGTTAAATAAACAAATGAACAATACACTATGATTGTTCTGCTTGAGTGTGTTAGCCTAACCATCTCCAGAGCTCTCCTCAACGCAGTCCAGTATTTACAGTGACCATCCAATACCTGCCTTATCTAATCAATACTTCCTCAAATTAAATCAAGTGATTGATTAACCATCCATGTGATGGCTGAAGTGCAGTGAGAGCTCAGCACATTCAGAAGGAGCTGCTCTTGACTTTATTTGTATGTCTTTCCAGGGAGACAGAGGTTTTGATGGTCTGGCTGGATTACCTGGTGAAAAGGGACACAGAGTAAGTCATTGATTAACAACTTTCCGTGTGTTATAAAGCTGTTATAACAGCTGTTCATACTAAATATGCTGTTGCTGCTCATGTGTTGTATGGGTTACTGCATGTACCTTTAGAACAGATAAACGACAGGCCTGTGTGTGTGTGTTTTAGGGCGAGTCAGGACCTCAGGGACCCCCTGGACCCCCAGGAGAGGATGGAGAAAGGGTGAGCTCTCCATTTCTATTGTTTTCTTCTCTCCTATTCATCCAGTTTGTCTCTCTTTATTACAGAGATTATAAAGATATGGAGATTATCTCATAATGATGATGTCATCTCTCATGTCCCAGGGAGACGATGGCGAGGTCGGACCCAGAGGTCTGCCCGGTGAACCGGTGAGTGTCCCAGAATGCTCTTTGATCTCCCTTTGAAAATATTTACACTTAAGTAATCAGAACACATTCTGATGTTTTACACCACAGTGAAGGTGTAGCTTATTATTATTATTATTATTATTAAGGCTTATTATTCAGCATCTTTATAACAGAATGATCTGTGATAACATGATTAATATTAATATTAAACAGATCAAGGCAAAATCATAGAGTTTCCTCAGATAACACATTCAATGTGTTGATAGAGAGAGAGAGAGAGAGAGAGAGTATGAGGGAAAGACAGAGGAAGAGAGAAAAGAGAAAGAGTGAAAGAGAGAGGGGAAGAGAAAGGGAAAAAAGAAAAAGAGGCAAAGAGTGAGAAAGAAATAAAAGCAAAAAAGAAGGTGAGATAGAGAGATAAAAGAGAGAAAATAAAGAGAGATAGAAAGAGATGAGACAAAAAGAGGAAAGATGAAAAGATTCAAGAAAAATAGAGAAAAGACAGAAAAAGAGAAGGAGGAGAGACAGAGGGGGGGGCTTCTGGATTTGCTGTAACCCAATTATTTGTGTAACTACAGTGAATTAGATCAAGATGGACAAATGAGTTCAGGCAACTGTGCTGACCCCGAGCTCTCTGGGGTCGACCTGACCCGTCCTGCGGTCAAGTGTAGAGCAGGAGGAGCCAGAAAGAGGAGAATATTAAACACGGCAATGAAAGTGCAGTTCTAAACCACGTCCACCAGGGGGCTCCCCAGCCACACAGCTTTATTTCAGAATGTCTCAGCTCTAAACACACACACACACACACACACACACACACACACACACACACACACAGGTCTGAGTTCATTAGAGTACATTATTAGTGTGATGGTAATGATCAAAATTTACATAATAACACTTTTTTTTCAAAAGTACTTAAAGGAACGTTCCAATGGTTTTGACCTAATCTCATCTACTGTATCTGTAGTGCACAGTCAGCTACCACAGACTGTAACTCCAGTTCATCTGCACTGTTGTTGTCTTCACTTATAACAGAAACTCAGGGACAGAACTCTACAGATATGCAGATAGAAATTAGGCTGAAAAATGCAGCAGAGTTCCTTTAAACTGTACTGAACAGTCTGTGGGCCCATCACTCTAATAACCACATAACTGACACATAATTTTCATACTAATTATTGAATAGTTAATAAGAGATACTGAATAATTCATAGTACTTGAGTAATTCTCAATAGTTACTGAATAATTAATTACAGATACTCAATAATACATAGCAGTTACTGAATAATCTGTTGTAGCTATTCAAAAATGTATTGTAGTTTCTCCAGTAGTAGTTACTAAAAAAGTAAAAATTCACAGTATACACTAATAATTCATAGTATTACTGAATATTTCATACTAGATACTGAATAATTTATAGCCGTTTCTGAATAATTCATAGTAGATACTGAATAATTTATAATAGATTCTGAAAAATGAATGGTAATTACTGAATAATTCATAGTAGACACTCAATAATTTGTAGATACTGAGTAATTCTAGATATTGAACGATTCATAGTAAATACTGAATAATTTATAATAGTTTCTGAAAAAATTATAGTAATTACTAAATAGTTCATAGTAGTTACTGAATGATTTATTGTAGCTATTCAGTCATTCATAGCAGCTTCTTCATAATTTATAGTAGTTACCGAATAATTCAGAGTACAAACTGAATAGTTATTAGTAGTTACTAAAAAAGTTACTAATAAATTCACAGTAAATACTGAATAATTCATAGTATTACTGAATAATGTATAGTACATACTGAATAATTCAGCGTAGATACTGAATAATTCATAGTACCTACTGAATAATTCAGAGCAGATACTGAATAATTCATAGTATATACTGAGTATTCATAGTAGATACTAAACAATTCATAGTACATACTGAATGATTGATAATAGATACTGAATAATTCATAGTAGATACTAAATCATTATTTTATATATTTTATTTATTATAGTAGTTTCTAAATAATGTATAGCAGTTACTAAATAATTCATCGTAGTTTCTTAATAACTTATAGTAGTTCATAATAATTCATAGTAGGCACTGAATGATAAGATTTCATTTCACTGGGTTAACATGACACTAATGAAATGGAGATTCTTATATCATCATATTTCTCAATCCCTTTATTTCTCCTTTTCTTTCAGGGTCCTCGTGGTTTGCTGGGACCCAAAGGACCACAGGGACCCCCAGGATCTCCTGTAAGTACCTTTAACCAGATCCGAGATCACAATTAAACTAAAGTAGAATCTGAATCTTTTTATGAGCCGAGTATGTTTTTTACATGCAGTGGGTTTGGGTTGGCGAGTGCTCACCAGACGACAGGAAAAATAAATCAAAGTGTAATAAAACATAAATAAAACATGTATATGCAATATTAAAATGTGCAGTACTGTACAAGTTCAGATGGAACAGACAGCAGGAGGTGGTTGAAGTAGCATCTGTACTGAGTATAAAGTATGTGCAGAGCAGGGAATGAGTAAAGAGTATGTGAGTAGTTAATTATATCTGAGCTCAGTGCGCAGCATCGAATGCTTTGTGTAGTGCAAGCTAAAATATGAAATTACAATCATAATTCAACAAAGGCCAATTACAGGTTATTATTACATGAATGAATGTATTTGTCTGCAGGGTGTGACAGGAATGGATGGCCACCCTGGACCCAAAGGAAACATTGTGAGTATATCACACACCTTTTTTCCGTGCAGAGGGGTCTTTTTATTATATCGGTTCTGTTCAGAGAGAGAAAATAAGACAGCAGGAGAATTTTAACATTACATGAGTCTGACTGCACTGTAACCCTCTGTTCTCCCTCTCTCTTACTCGCACATACACACACACACACATACACACACAGACATGTTTTCATTCACTGTCAGGACACAGATTTGCACATATGGGATGCATGTCTCATATATACAACATCTATATTTAAATAACTCTTTGTAATAAAATTTATATTATCCATTTAAACCTATATATTGTAATAATACTGTGTGTCCTATAGATATTTTACATGTAAATGTATATATGTAATACTAATAAGCCAAATATGCATATATATATATGTGTGTGTGTGTGTGTGTGTGTGTGTATACTTATGTTACATATGTGATATTACATACAGTAGTACATGCACCCATGCATATCCATGATATGCCCCTTATATGTAAGTTCCTATATCTGATGATAATGCTAATAATAATGCTAATAATAATAATAATATACGTCCCATGTGTTCTTTAAATGTTAGTTCACAAATGTAATATAGCATTTTTTCATATATATATGTGTGTAATAACAATACATCCCATATTGATGAATCAATATGTAATAATAATTAATGTCCCATATCTACTATAATAATGCTAAGGATAAAAATCATTTTGGTCCTAAAAACGTACAAAAACAAGCACACACACACACACATGCATGTTGCGTTTTTGTGGCAGAACAGTTGGAGTTGTATTTTTAACAGCGTGCTGGGTGAGCAGTGCTTTTCAGTCAGAAATAAGTCCATGCTCTGTCTCTGCCTTCTCTTCGGAAACGTGGCTGCCTGATATAGGCACACACACACACACACACACACACACACACACACACACACACACACACACACCCGCCCACATGAGAACTGATGCAAACCAGGGACACTTTCTCATTCTGGTCAAACCCACAATAGTGACAACCTGCATTTCAGCGCAGGCAGAGACAGCTGCTGCTAATGAGACTCTCAGTGCCTCTGTGTGCAGCAGACAGAGATATGGAGATAGACAGAGAGAGAAGAACGAGAGACCAGGATAATCGCATAATATTATAAGGGTCCACATCACACTGAAGAAAGTGAATAAATATATATATCATTTTTACAGTCAATAAAATAGAGTAAAATGTTACAGTAGTTACAATTAGATATTTTAGTTCACTTTCTTTTAGCAGAAATTAAGTTGGTGTGACAAAACAAACTTGCTGTTCTTTATTTTATTATTCTACACTGTTTTTGTACTATTTTTTGAGCTAGAACCACAGCGTTCCGTCACACACATTTTTTTTTCATTGGAAATAAATGGTCAAATGTTGAAACAATTCATCCCTCCTGGGGTACCTTAGAAACAGCCTAGCAACATCCCTTGGCAACCACCTGGGATACCATAGCTGTGGCCTAGCAACACCTTAGCAACCATCTGGGATACCATAGTAATAGCCTAGCAACACCCTAGTGACCACCATGGATTCTGTATCAATGGCCTAGCAACACTTTAGCAACTACATGGGATATCATAGCAATGGCCTAGCAGCACCCTAATGACCACCATTCCATAGCAATGACCTAGCAACACGTTAGCAACCAACTGGGATACCATAGCAACACCTTAGTGACCGCCATGGATTTCATAGCAAGGGTCTAGCAGTGCTTTAGCGATCACCTGGAATACCCATAGCAATGGCCTAGCAACACCTTAGTGACCGCCATGGATTCCATAGCAATGGCCTAGCAGTGCGTTAGCAATAACCTGGCATACCATAGCAACAGCCTAGCAACACCTTAGTGACCACCATGGATTCCACCGCAATGGCCTAGCAGTGCCTTAGCAACCACCTGGGATACCATAGCAACGGCCTAGCAAAACCTTAGTGACCACCATGGATTCCACAGCAATGGCCTAGCAGTGCTTTAGCAACCAACTGGCATACAATAGCAACAGCCTAGCAACGCTTTAGCAACCACCTGGGATAACACAGACAATTCATCCCACCTGGCATACCTTAGCAACAGCCAGCAACATGCCTTAGCAACCACCTGGGATACAATAGCAACAGCCTAGCAACATGCCTTAGCTACCACCTGGGATACCATACCAGCGGCCTAGCAACACCTTAGTGACGACCTTGGATTCCACAGCAATGGCCTAGCAACGCCTAAGCAACCACAATGGATTTCATAACAATGGCCTCGGAACGCTTTAGCAACCACCTGGGATAACATAGAAACATCCTAGCAACACCTTAGTGACCACTTGGGATTCCACAGCAATGGCCAAGCATCATTTTCGCAACCACCTGGGATAAACTAGCAACACCTAACCAACCACCTGGGTTTTCATAGTGACGGCTTTGTCAAGCCAACTTACAGATCATTCACAAACATTTCCATCCTAGTTGTGTTGATGTGAGGTTATTATTATGCTAATGATGCACAGTAAAATCGAGTCAGTTGGACACAAGTGCAAAAATACAGCTTTCTGTGCCTTTGAGCTGTTTGTTGTCTCATTTCTTTCTCATTTCTTTCTCTCAGGGGCCTCAAGGTGAGCCTGGACCTCCTGGACAGCAAGGAAACCCCGGCGCTCAGGTAAGATTGAGGCCACACCATCTTTGAGAAATAGTTCACTAGTATTGCATGAAATTTCATTCTCCAAATCCGACCACATGACTGAAAAGATGTGGCGGAGCTTCACTTTTCTCAGAGGAAGCTCGTTGTGGCCTTTACAAGCTTTGTGGGATTGCGTGATACAGAGAGGCCTAGCTAACAAGTGGGAATTAGAAACAACGAAAATTAGGGGAAAAAACTAAAAATAAACACATAAAAAGTTTAATTTTGTCATACACAAGTCTTTAGGGTGGAAAGGTCATACAGTAGACTGTCCTACAGCATGTTGGAGAAGCAAACTTGAGCAAACTCCGCTTGATTCCACTGTAAAAGTGCATCAGATCCAGATGTGTCTGTAGGGACGAGCTGGTAAAGCCTGCGCTAAAAGTCTTTGTTATACAAGATAAGAGAAAGATAACTGGTGTTTCCTCACAGGGACTGCCAGGGCCTCAAGGAGCCATTGGACCACCTGGAGAAAAGGTAACACATGTTCTGTGTTTGGGTGAATTTAGTGATAATGAAGGAAATGCATATGGTACTACGTTTACTGTCTGTTTCTTACTGGTTTAACTGTGGGAGCCCATCCCCGCCAGTCAGAGGGGAAAGAAATCACACCAACACTGTTTTTTCCATCTCCTCTGTTTCTGGCAGCACAGTGTCAAAATTTTGATGTAGTGTCTTGAAATAATGTCGACTTACTATGTCGAAACTGTTGACTTGCTATGTAAAAATGTAAAAAATATTGGCTCAAAATATTGGTTTGGTATGTCAGAAGGACTTGTTTCTCAAAATTTTCTATGTTGAAATGATTCATTATTTCCTCTAAATTTGACTTTCTATGTAAAAATACCTCTAAATTTTGACTCTCTATGTTAATTACTTTTCTATAAATGTGACTTTCTGTCAAAATAATAACGTTTCCTGTAAATTTTGACTTTCTGTTACAATAACGACTTTTTTTTCTAGATTTAGATTTCTATATTAAAAATATACATGCTCTCAAAAATGACTTCCTATGTTGAAATAATGACTTATTGTCTCTGATTTTGACTTTTTATGTTGAAATAATGACTTACTTCTTCTAAACCTTAACTTCCTGTGTTGGAACAATGACTTATTTTCTCTAAATTTTACTCAGCATCTTGAAGAAAAGGTTGATTTTCCCTGCAATAATTACTTTAATCATTACTTGATACTTATAAATATTTTTTTCACATAGTGTATCACAATTTCTTCTTAATAACTCACAATCTTGAGATAATAAGTCAGAATTTTGATAAAACAAGTCATTACTTTGACATAATATGTAAACATTTTGAGAAAATAAGCTGTTGAGTTGCAAAGACAATATTTTGAGACACTAAGTAAAAAAATTGAGACAATAAGTAATTATTTAAATTCTAAATTTTGAATTTTGAAAACATTATTTTAAGATACAAATTCAACATTTTGCTGTGGGAGAAAAATGGCCTAATTTTTCAGTGTAAAAACAGTTTTTTTGCTCTGTGTGGTGGAAATAGGCCCTCATATTAAATGAATATGCAGTATGGATATATCGCATGTTGTTTTTATGTGTTTTATGCCTGCCTGAAAATGGCTTTGCAGTGATAGTTGGAGCTGAATTGAGCTGTAACAGTGCTCTGTGTTTGTGTGTGATGTTAATGCCGGATTCTCTGTTTTTTCTCTGCAGGGACCAACAGGGAAGCCAGGCCTGCCAGGCATGCCAGGAGCCGATGGACCTCCAGTGAGTTTGAGACATATAAACACACACACACACACACATACACACACACACAGACACACACATGCACATGCACACTGATTGCTCCCAGTTTGCAGTGAGCAGGTGTTTCCGAGTCCAGCAGGTGTAGAGACGAGGATGGCAGATGATAACGTGGGAAAAACACCTGCTGGATCCTGGACAGAGAGAGAAAGAGGGGCGAGTGAGCAAGAGAGAAAGCAGGAGAGAGAGTCCTTAAACCGAGGCTGCACAATTCAGCTACTTTTTGCCTTTTTCGGTTCATTTTGGTGAACTTAAGCCAGTTAATTGGCTTATTATATACAGTATCATAGAGAAAGCTGCTTTAGTATATTTATAATGCTAAGTTAAAGTGAAGTAAAGCTGTTTGGTTCTGGAATTGGCTGATTCTGGAATTTCTATCTAATTGATCGAGGTGGGTAATCCTGTAAATAATCCGTTAAACAGAAGAATAATATCTGTGTAAATGCCTGTATCTGATTACGTTCCCTATCGGAAAGTTTAAGTCCGTTCTGATCACATCATAGTGAAAGTTTATACCGTTCAACATCGCGGAGCAGAAACTGGTCTGCAGAGGAGACGAAGTTTATGCTTGATCTTTAAAAGACGGCGGTGGGACGGACGTCCAGCTTATGTGTCTCAGAACACGACGTCTTCCTCTCGGCCTTCTTTAATCTGACACCATTTTAAAGCAATTAAAAACACAAGCACTGCTCACTGCTGCTCATCTCACTCTGACTGGACTCACGTGATGCTGGTTGTCATGGTAACATCTACACTAAGCGGTTCTCTACAAATGCGTGTCATTTTGGATCTGATTGCTTGTAGTGAACATGTAAACTAAGACTTTCATCAGATTGTTGAGTAGAGTGAGCAGATATTCTCAACAACATATTTAATATAAATATAAACCTAATTTGAGAAAAACAGTCATCATTTTGAGATAATATGCCAAAATTTTAGACATATTTAATGTATTTTTATTTTCATTATTCATTTTGCGAAAATTCGCACAATTTTGCGAAAATTAACTATTATTTTTGACAGTGAGTTCAAAAGTTTGAGAACATCAGTCATTACTGTGATACACTAATTCAGCATTTTTTCAGACAGTAAGTTATTGAGAAAACATCCAAAATTTTGAGAAAATAATGAATTGTTTTGACATATTAAGTCATTTTTTTTTTTCAAAAAGGCCATATATACATATATGACTGTATGAAGGCAATATTTCAAGAAAATAAGTCATTGTCTGGGATATCATGTTAAAATGTGAAGAAAAAGTCAAACTTTTTCACGTAGCACTGCCAGAAGTATATAAGGAGAAAATAAGAAATAATTTATTATTACTTACTGTGAATAAGTCTGTCTGTTAGTAACATCTCATCTGCCTTTTTCACACACAGGGTCACCCAGGAAAGGAAGGTCCATCCGGTGAGAAAGGAAACATGGTAAGATTGACCGTGATTACAACCTCAGAATAACCATTATTATAATTTCTCTTATTCTTATCATCATTTTCAGCAACGCTGTCTTTCCCTCCTGTTTTCTCTCTATTATCCAAAAGGCAGTCTAATCATATATTAAGTGTCTGTATATAATCACATTACATCTCTCTCTCTCTCTCTCTCTCTCTCTCTCAGGGACCCCCTGGTGCTCAGGGACCAATCGGCTATCCTGGTCCCAGAGGTGTGAAGGTAAGCTCTGTTCTGATAGATAAAATGGTTTAGTGATGGTTCTGCAATCTGATTGGCTGAGCCACGTTCAAAGCTGCCCATTATACACAAAAATAACTGCACACATCAGTTCAACTCTGTTCATTCTGTATCCAAGTCATTTGCTTGGCATCCATGGCCTACTGTTAACAAACTACCTTGCTTGATGTTGTTATTATTATTAAAGGTAAATAGATTTTTTTTGGAATATTATTCTAATTAATATGTAATTAAATGATTTCTTGAGCATGGTTTATTTTACTATATTGAATATGTGTTTGCTTCACATTGTGCATTTCAATGCAAAATAACACCCCTTAACCGTGGAAAATCACCATAACTCAGAACCTACAGTGAATTATTGCTTTATTATTATTCAAGACCTTGACGTGAAAGTTTTCAGCCTAACTTTTGGTTATTTTTAGTGTCATTTTTTATTAATTTGACTTATTTCAAGTAACCTCATGTGGTCATAACTCTGTAATACTGTTGGGAAAGGTTTAGTTTTACACCAGTAGGTGGGTTAACCCCCTTAAAATCCCAGGCTTATTATATACTAAGCCTTATTATTCAGTAACTACAGGGATGTCAGTGCAAAATGGTTGACCTATTCTAAAGTTACAGAATTGTATAATAAAAGTTTGGACCTCCCTGGTCCAAGAGGTTTTTTTTTAATTATCAGCACGATCTTTTGGTGATTTTAGTCCCGTACAAATCAACGATGTACGTAATTTGTAAAGCTGCTCATTAGCCAAGCCCACACAGCTCTCAGATGGGTCTGATTATCATATTCCTATCTTGGATTTTTCATTCAAGCTTTGTTGGATGTTTAATATAACAGTCAAGCTTGGCATCATATAAACATTTTTGATGTTGTTCTCTGGGACTTTAATTATGGAGGCACTTAAAGAAGCATTTACTGGTGTTCTCTGTGGCCCAGATCAAGCTGAGATGGGTGGTCCTACCTCAAGTGTACAGCACATTAAAACCTGTAAAATGTCAGAAGAAGGTTTGTATGCGCTGGTGTTCAGTGTAGGAGGTAAATTCTCCAGCTAATGGCACAAAGTATTCACTCAGGGCCGAGGAGATGGTTAGTGAGCAAACCTGCCTGTGGATTAGATGTGTGGTTGTTTTCTGCTGTGAGCAGCTGAACGTTCTGCATATGGAGCTTCAGCTTATTCACAAACTGCTTTCCCAGAGTTTCATTAGCAGTCTGGCGCCAGTCAAGCTGCTGTGGAACTGAATGCAGTTTAATATTTGATTCTGAGGCTGACCAGTCTGACCAGTCTGACCCCGACCACAGACCGCACTGTGGAAGACTAGAACAGAGATTGGGCTCTGAGATTAGAACTTTCCCGAGTGGGCTGTGGGGGGCAGGAGGGGTTTGGGCAGGTGATCCAAAAAGTACATTTAGTGTGATGTGTAATCATGTTTTCTCTCTCTCTCTCTCTCTTTCTCTCTCTCTCTCTCTCTCTCTCTCTCTCTCTCTTTCTTTCTTCTCTCTTTCTTTTTCTCTCTTTCTCTCTCTCTCTCCCTTTCTCTCTGTCTTTGTTTCTGTCTCTCTCTCTCCTCCCTCACTCTGTCTCTCTCTCCTCCCTCACTCTGTCTCTCTCCCTCCCATCTCTCTCGCTCTCTCTCTTTTCTTTGTCCTCTCTCTCCTTTTTCTCTCTCTGTTTCTCTTTCTATTTCTTTTTTCTTTCTTTTTTCTTTCGCTGCTTCCTCACTCATTTTCTCTCTTTCTCTCTGTCTCGCTCTTGACTTTCTTACCTTCTCATCTCTCTCTCTTCTTCTCCCTTGCTTTCTCTCTCTCTCTCCTTCTTTCCCTGTCTTTCTTTCTTTCTTTCTTTCACTCTTTTTTCTTTCTTTCTCTTGTCTCTTTCTCTCTTCTCCCTCACTTTCCCTCACTTTCCCTCTCTCTCTCTCTCTCTCTCTCTCTCTCTCTCTCTCTCTCCCTAGGGTGCTGATGGAGTTCGTGGGCTGAAAGGAAACAAGGGTGAAAAGGTACAGTGTGTTTAAATGCACTTTCTTTGTTTTATTATTTCTTTTCTTTTATTTTTCTATATATCTTCAACTGAGCAACATAAAAATCCATTTTTTTGCAAAAGAAGAGGATCTTTTAAAAGCCAGGAACTGAAGAATCCTGTATTATTTCAATATAAAGTTATAGCCCGCGAGAGTGTGAGCAAGGAGGCTCCACAAATAGCCGTTTCTATGGAGACAGGGACGGTCCGAATGTGTGGGAGACTCTCAGGACTGTGAGATGGACCAAGACTTCAGTATAAGATACTCTGCATAAGGCTGGGAGACGGTCACGAGCCTCTGCGCCACATCGGTGTCTGAAGTTTGCTTCATAGTTTGGCACTGGTGCCATGAAGCTGATGTAGATTTGCTTATAGTGAGACACTACAGGAGAACAACGTTGTTTTCCAAAAAACATAAAGGCCTACTGGAAGTTCTAGATTCGTCACTGACTGTGCATACGAGCTGTAGTCTGAGCAGGTTCCGGGTAGTAGTGAGGAATGGAAAACAGCGGCAGCTCTATGCAGGACTCTTTACTGAAAGAGTCACTGTAACACTGATACATATAAGTTCAGGTATATGATAATGTCTGTTAAAAGCTTTAGATAAAATGTATGGAATGAATTTTACAAGCTTCGGATGTTGGCATTTAATCGAGAGCAGCCAGAAATGCGTGCAACTGTTAGTGTAGTGTTAACACACTATTAGAAACCCCATAGGGGCGCTAGCGGAATTAAGCATTATTGTAGAGGTGCGTTTTTTCCTCAAGGCCTGTTTACAGTGTTCCCAAAAATTACATCTATAAATGCAAAAGAGTTGCATAAATGTCAGTGTACAATTACAGTAGATTACTTTCACAGCAGTTTACTGAATGATATTAACAGTAAATC